GGTCAGAGGTCAAGGGGTTCAGATCTGAGCAAAAATCTGTGGTGGAAGATGAGACGGCATCAGACGTACAGAAGCACAGATCTAAGGCCAGCCTTTCATCTTTGGTCATCTCTGGACCTCAGGAGACATCCTGAAACGTCCACAATGAACAAACATGGCGTTGAGTTGACAGCGCCATCATAATTACAGGAAGCAATGATCAAACAGAAACCTTCAACATTTAAAGCTGATGTTTCTGCTGACGGTTATTTCAGTAGTTGGAGCAAATAAAGATGAATGGACCTGGCTCAGTTAGAAGATTCTGGTCTCAGTTTGATTCATGGAGGAAATCCTTCTGGGAGCCAAGCCTTAAAACTGCCCTCTGAGGACCAGATGACACTGATTAATGGCTCAATATGTCGGTAATTAAACCTGCAGCGCATTCATCATGTCAGAGCTGCACAGCACAGACCTACGGATGTCAGATTGTCCCGTATTGACTCAGAGATGTGGCTTAAAATTGAATAAACCTGAGCTCTGCAACATGTAGCCGCGCTGCTCAATCAATAGGAGCACAATAAGGCCAGCCGACGCCGTTCTGTTTATGATTTCTTCTATTCAGAAATGTTCCGCATCAGACGAGGCTGGAAAGGTTAGGGGGCGGGGCTAAAAGCCAACAGTTGATGAGGAGTCAGGATTAATTGCCGATAGTTGGTGAAAACAAAAGGAGAGCATGCAGAGAGAGGGGAAAATGGAGGCAGAGATTAGCAGAGGTGATCTACGGATGGACGGGGAGAAGGTGGAGTGGAGCTCTCCTGCACGCCCGAGGCCAAAGCAATAAACGGGCAGCCGTTAAAAACCAATACCTGCTTATTAACTCCCCCACTCTCATGGCTTGTAAAAAGCCAGTGGAACAATGTTTGAGTTGGCGCTCTTCCCTCCGCTCGCTCTATCTCTCCTCCAGACCCAAGGCCCTAACAGGCAGAGATGCAATCATTGGAAAGCTGGACGGAGCCCAAATTGCACAGAAAGGACGGCTCTGCTGCCAGGGCAGAGCGTTAGCCGTGTCGGTTTGGGGCTGAAACACTCGACTGGTTGTAGATTTTCTTACAGAAAGCAATAAAGTGCACGGCTGTGTACAGAAGGAAGCAAAACAACAAAGATGTTGGTGCTTTATCTCCGAGCACGGCCCATTCTGCTTCCTCTCGCTAAATCCTGTATTTTTGTTCTGCTTTCACTGATTTTTGTTTTACTTTCACCAATTAAAGTCCAACTGTTTCAGAAGCATCTCAACCACTAACTGGAAATCTCTAGTTTCTGATTCCAGACTTGGTTTACCTTCGTCTGCAGTCTGACTATAAGGAACTGACCTGAGAACAAACCTCTTTCAACGTAGAGCAGCGATTCCAAACTCTCATCCAGATTTCTTTAAATGAATCGTAGATCAACAGTAACTTTGTCTTTGTCGCCGTAAAAAAGCCCAGCTTTCTGGGTTTAGTCTCATTAATTCTGACAGTAGTGATGACAGGGCTGCTCTGGGCCATTAAATCGACGGAGAACTTCATACGGTGTTGAGCTGTCTAATCTGGTCACATAAGCTAAAAATGTTTTTCATTATTTATCAAAATGTGCATTTTGAAGCATGTCACCTAAAAAGATTGATGGAAACACTGAAATTCAAATAGACATTCTATATTTCAAAAAACAATGCTTTACTTGAGATGTTTGTATTTTTTATTTACTTTTTTGAAAAACATTTGCCCCA